GTTTTATAACAGGACTATTACGCCTATGCCTATTAATAGCCGCTTCACTTTCTGAACTTTTTAAGGCTTTCGTTACCACACGGCTTCGTTAGGGAGACGAGACAGTTCATATTGGCAACTAAGGTTTTTAATATACAACTGTCAATTTGTTCGAACGTACGCAGGCAACGCGTTTATGTCTCGTTTGATTATGGCAATCAGTTCGCTTCCATTTCGAATATTTCGCTCACACGGTTTACAAACTTGGTCGGATAGTTCCGAGGTAGAATTAACTTCGATTCCTAAATGAACTGAACCGGCAATTCGGCTTATTTCGGCCAGGGGCTGGTTGTATAAAAACGTAGTTAGCGCTAACTGCAGTTAAAAAGTAGTTAAAAAGTGATTAACTTTAATCACGTAGTTAAGCCGGTTGTATAAAAGTGTAGTTAGCCTTAACTGCAGTTAAAAAGTAGTTAAAGTTAACTATGCTTTAGAGTATAGTTAACTGTCCAAAACGTAGTTAAAAATGGCGTTTGTATAGGAGTGAACAACATTTTTCAGTAAAACAACAATGAAAAGCAACGCTTACCTGAGATTTTCAATCGCTATTTTCCCTGTCAATGTTTCCTGATAATATAAACTCTTCAAACGCTATCGCTTTGGTGTTTTTACGAAAACAGAACATATTTTTGCACAGGACGATTTCTCGAAGACGAAGTATGGTCCATTACACCAAGAAACACTGATATATAATTGCCAAACAGCTATACCTTGGTTTAACGTAGACATCTCAAGAAAAAACTGCATTCTTTTATGATTTTTGTGGCGGTTTTTCCTTGTTTTCGTGTATATTTTTCACTGTTTTCTAGTGTTTTGAATAAAATTCCCGCCTATTTGCAAAATACGAGTCCACAATCATGTTGAAAATGTGTGTCAGCGGTCGTTATTCGCTGCTTACTTTATGTAATTTTGTGTTTAAACGCCCCACGCAAGCCCCACGCACAGTTAACTACGTGATTAGTTAACTATCCGACTAACTACGTTTTGTGCAACGCAGTTAAGTCATGTAGTTAACTAATTATAGTTAAGGATTTAACTACAGTGATTAACGCTAACTACAGTTAGCGCTAATTACGTTTTTATACAACCGGCCCCTGGAAATCACATTAAGAAACATAGGATGGAAAATATGAGGCATATAAAGTTAATTTTAACTTACATTTCATTGTCATATCACGTCTTTCTTCGTTTATTACGGTTTTAAACAAGCCACAGATATATATATATATATATATATATATATATATATATATATATATATATATATATATATATATATATATATATATATATATATATATATATAAAATACTCATTAATAATTCATAAACCTTGTGCCAAATCATGTCAGCCATAATATGTCACGTGGAGTGACTTTATATCTAATAATTCATCCTAATTAGTATTCTTTTGTAGTCGTATTTTAAGCTATTCAAAACACTCGTTGTCGTGTTTTATCAGATATATAACGCTCGGCTGCGCCACGCGTTATATATCTGATAAAACACTCCTACTCCTGTTTTAAATACTACATAGACAAGTATCGAGTTTGGAATCATATATGAGTAGAGTGCTCAATACCGTAGTAGAGCTGATAAGATTAGTTGAATTACTTCATATGAACTTTATTTCACTAAAAAAAAAAGTTCAGAAATAAAGTTCATATGAAGTAATTCAAGTTTGTCTTCTAATCTTATATATATACCGGGTGGCGCAAAAAAAAGTATAACTGTTTGATTTAGTACAGCGAACAATCTATAAGGGTTACATCCCTGAAATAAACGTAGCTGTATTCATAATAGTCTAACTTAAATTTTGAGCTATAGCATGTTTATTTACGTGCAATATTGCCTGGGATATCGCCAAATAAAATTTGGAACGAAGTTTTGAAAATCTGACAAATTGGCTAAAAATGGCCTATTAAACTGTTTTGATAAATTTTAGAATTTCGTCAGACATATTCGCTTGTATGAATTTAATTTGAATTGAAACGTGTAACGAATGATTTTCCTTATTTATTTATTTGTTTTATTATCATTTGAAAAGCAACAAAATTTCGAAAAAGATGGCTCTTTTAATTAAGAATTGCTTCGCAGTATTCCATGTCCCATAGCTACAGGGAATTAAATTAGATCAACAACCGAACAATTTGAGACAGCTTCGTGAAGCGATTATTGCTGATTGCCATAACTTTGACCAGCAAATAAATCCAACGTTAATTCGTTCGATAGTATGGTCACACGTGCAAGAATATAGTTATTTAATTTTCCATGATAAACGCTTTATTTACTGCCGTTGTGTTCTTCATATATCGTTAATTCCTTTACTCGTATTTAATAGGCTATTTTCAGCTAATTTTGGAACGTTTTGAAATTGCATATTCACATTGATTTACCAATATCTTGGGTAATACTAAACAAAAATGCATGTGTTATACATCAAAATTTAAGTTAGGCCTTCCTGGATAGGATAACATTTATTTGAGGAACGTAACACTTATAGTTTTTTCGCTGTACTAAATCAAACGCGTGAACTTTTTTTTGCGCCACCCGGTA